AGTCATTTGTGTTATTGTACCTTGTACACTGTTGTCATTCCATTATGTTTTTATGGTCCTCGTTTGATTCCATTATTAGCGAGATTTAATTGATCAGGCGTTTATTTAAGTGACTAACATTGCAATCCACTGCATAACATAAAGTCATTACGAAGGGATGTAACGTTGATTTTGATAGTAACCATTTTATGCCATACTTCATGTCAGAATCGTAAAGTGAGAAATTGGTTTTTCTTTCTTTACACTGTGCATTCGTCGTTTCAATCTGGTATCATTATTTTTACTGTGCCATACGTCATCTGTGACGACTATACTAGAAACGGAACTGTTCTTAAACCTTCTTGACATGGCATCAGTAGACGTTTTCGAAGATACTATTCCTTCAGAGTTCATTACCTTTCATAAACGGTTTTCTTCATTACGAAATTTCTAGCAGCCATAGAAAAAAATTTTTCTGAATAACTTATTAAACTTTCAAAACAAGTAAATTCTTGTAGCATATCTGCAGATCAGTGTCGTCGACGGAAGCTAAATCATTTCATTTTAGAATGAAAAGGAAATATTTTTCTTGGGAAGAAGCGATTGGTCTTCGTGAAGTGAAGGTAAACTAATTAATCTCATATCGAAATAATTAATATATATTTTATTGATTAAAGAGTTTTGCATCTTTGGCCTATATCGCAATTATTCTCTCAGCAAGTAAAATCAAGTAATTTCCGCCATTTTAAGAATTCTCCTTGTTGCCAATGACAGATTTTTTCAGTTCAAAAAAGTGACTACACCGCTGTAGGGAACTATAAAAAAACATTATTTCACAGGATTTTCTATGTTCTTACCGCGGGATGAAGAAACGGACTACGCGAAGGAAGTTAGTTTCTCTATTTTTCCTGTCATTTTCCGCAGCTTTAATTTGTGCCCATCTTTATCTTCTGTTCAGGAGTAGATGTTATAATGAAAGGATTTCGCCGTGCTTTCGTTTATGATAAATATGACGATGGCCCTCAATTCAGTGACACAACTTCGTTAACCTGAATTTGGATTGGGTAACCGGTGCGTGCATAGTGTACATTTTACTTTATTACGTTTCTAACATGACCAACTGACGTCAACCATAATGCACTGGTTGCCACAGGGTGTTACCACAGTATATTTCTGACCTATAATAGACAGCAGCTGGAGTCTGCAGCAATGGGCAACAATACTACCCTGAAGAATATTGGCGAGGTACAAACCGAATAGTTTACCTAGTAATATAATGAATCTGGTTAACCTGTTACTTGAAGTGATATTTCATATGCTGCGTATTTTATTGTATTTACACCTTCTTTGTGAAGAAGTTTTACTTATATTGTATAACACGGGAGTAATAATTCAACATACAGAGGTGTCGACCGAATCAATTATCGGTAAGTTTTCAGCTCTCTTTCGGCAAATAACTGCGCTAATACACATGCCTACGCTTTGTGACTTTTTATGTACTGAGTTGGGTACAGTCTTTTATGATTATGAGTGTTAGGTATTGATTGAAATAGTCTCATTGCGGGTGTAAGTGACAGAATCGATTGTAAATCATAATAAACAACTTTCATTGTAGAACACTGCAG